CGACTATGCTATCCCGGGTCCATACAAAGGCCTTCAGGTAGCTGACAAATTGATTCCCATTAATAAGATCTAAAAGTTTGTGACGATGGCACATTAGTACAAATACGTTTCTGGACATTATCCATCGTCCTGTTTTCATTTCAAAACACAATGTTTTGGAGACTGGGTTCTGTCTCCATCTTCTGGTAAAACAGGATGATGCATAGTGTCAAGAACATAACATGTGTAGATTCTCATTAAATTTATCACTGGAGAGTATCACAGAAAGTGCTCCACAAATGGATACAGTTCATGAAGATATGGATATACTGTTACTGGGTAGTGTCTTGCTGTGCTTGAGTTAAACAGGAGTGACAACAACAGATTATTAGGGTACTATATTTTCTAACATGTTTTCTCCCACCACACACACCTTCAACTATTCTGTCAATTAAATTCAATTACCTTCCCATCCCATCACCGCTGTCTTCATCTGACAGTTTCTGTCTACATCAACCCCAGCAACCACCAACCAAGTCCTCCTCTGTGACAACTGCCCTATAACATTGAAATAATCCTGAATTGATATTCCGTATCAAACCAATTACATGATGCCCTGCACTTGCCAAGCTCAGCTCAGAAAATTAAATAGAACTATATACAAGACAATGCGCCCTGCACACTATGTATATCCCAGCTGCGCAAACCTTCCAGCATTCACACAAGGGACCACTTTTGATGGCGAAAAAATGAAATCAGTTGGAAACAGCATGGTCTTCACTAAGCATGGTGAAAACAGGCTCCAAATGCATATTAGGTCAAACCCCAGTGCAAGATTTTATTCTGTATGTTAAATAAACGAATGGGAATATGTTAATTTACCTGCTTAGTGGTTATGATCATCCTTAAAATGAGAGAGATGAGGTGGTCTGAACTTGGAATACGAGTAATTGCATAGATCTGTCATTTGGGAGTATTAAATGGCAATTACTCACTCATGGAGCTGAGCCCTTCTTGAGAAGCCGCCAACTGTGCAGCCACTCAAGCACTTCCCAGCACATTATGGAACCTGAAGGTTCATTACCCTGTTCACAGGAGTCCCCCACTGGTCCCTATCCTAAGCCAGCTTGATCCACTCCATCCCATCTCTCTAAGATCCATTTTAATATTGTTACCCACCTAAGTCTTGGTCTCCCTAGTGGTCTCTTTCCTTCTGGCTTTCCCACCAATATCCTATATGCATTCCTCTTCCACCCCAATTCATGCTACTTTACCTGCTTATGTCATCCTCCTTGGCTTGATCATTATGATTATATTTGGCAAAGAGAGCAAGTTATGAAGCTCCTCATTACGCAGTTATATCCAACCTCCAGTCATTTCATCTCTCTTCAATCCAAATATTCTCCTCTGAACCCTGCTCATTCAATGACAACGTTACTAAACTGATGCACCTTTTCAATGTCTTGAATATCTTGGCATTATACATTGGCTGGAACCACAAAAAGATGGTCCTAGAATTTGGTTGTTTCAGAACAGGGTGCCAAGACGAATATTTGGACCTAAAAAGGCTTGAGTTACAGAAGATTCAGGAAAGTGAATAATTAAGATCTTGCAGAATTTGATTACTCATCAAATACCATTAAAATATTCAAATCAAGGAGGATGATACTGGCAGAACAGGAAAGAAATTGTATATGAAGTTTTGGTAGGAAGCATGAAAAATGGAGACCACCAAGAAGACGTAGTTCTATGTAGGTAGTTAAGAGCGCATTAAATTATGAGAACAAAATGTAAGATAAAAGGCACTTAACGGATGGTCCTATCATTATAATCCATTAGCAGTTCTTTCTCTGAATTGCTAAATCACATTTTAGGTTACTGTAATAGGAATGTAATCAAATACTTTTTTATTCAGATAAAGGCTGCAGCAGACAAAAAGAGGAATTTGGGGTGAGGCATCTGCCACCCTCCTGTATGGATATTTCAAAATAAAAGCAAAATTAATGAATGAAACGCCAAAACTTTATATTTCAATGTAAGGACCCACAACTCTAAGTCAATCCATAAAAATATTCTTAAATGGCTTAGAGGTTAAGTTTGTTACAAAATTTTCTTCTTCCCACCCTTTGAAAATATCTCTACCATGCCCATGCAGGGAAGTCTGACTAACCCTTTTAAATTATCTTCTGGTGATCTACTGTCACCACTGAACAGTTCTCATGATATTGGCCCTAAAGCAGCTTCTAAATATTGCGAAGGACAGTAGCTGATCCAGTAACAGGCTCATTAAACAAGAAGTTACAGTCATGTACACAAGTCGGTTGGTACTGCAGTCAAAAGTGGCAGACTTTGACTGATTTATTGTGCAATCGGTGACTAAGTTGGTGGGGAGGCCATCACACAGTCAGAAATATGCTGTGTATTGTCTTCCAAAAACCAGGATGGGAATATTCTACAAAACTAAATACAGTATAGGTTCAATGGTATTATGCCATAATTATCTGCCAGACTACACATGATGTTCATGATCACTGCCTCAAACCTTGCAGATATAGTAATCGGTTTACATAAAATTGAATTTTTTGTTTGTAATTCTCTTTCATAAATTTATTTCTTACATTAACATTCATAAGCAGGGCCCGGATTTTGATGACATGTCATCTTTTTTTCCTTGTATCCTATGTGATGCTCTTAAATATATAAATCTAGGATATGAGCTGCTGGTTACGGAAATGGAAATTTTACAGTTAATTTTTTGTCATTTTTTGGACTTTTAAGGGTATTTCTTGTCATTTTTGGCCATTTTAGGGAATTTTTCTTCATGTTTTCTGAACTGTGAATAACATGGAAGCGAAGTGTTCTTTCTTTTCTCCTTTAGGTCATTTTTCTGGATTTTTTCGGTCATTTTTTGAATATTATCAGGTCATCAAAATCTGGGCCTTGCATATTACATTTTTGGGTCATATTTTAGGTCATTTTTCTGGATTTTTTCGGTCATTTTTTAAATACTTTCAGGTCATCAAAATCCAGGCCCTGTTCATAAGTATTCATACATATGGATGTTTGCATTAAGTATGAGGTGTCCTATTTAACTTAACCTTAACAAATCTGTGATTACAAGAACTGTAGTGTAGGCAGAGGCACTGAGTGTGAGCCAGTAAGTTGATAAGTGACTGCTGTTTTCTACCCATTTGCCACAAGAATGTGTTTGAGCTTAGCACCACTTCTCACAGATTTACAGACAGAAGCAGATAGGGGTTCACAGGCTGATTAGATACATTCCTAGTATTTCCATCACTAGGCTATGTACATACTTGTATGAAGTTATTTTTGCATTAAATTAAAAGTAGGAGATGCAAGAGCCTTTCTATAAAAGTTAATATACTTACTTTTTGGAGGAAACCGTTTTCTCTAACAAAAAGCATTCAGGAACAATTCAAGGTGTAGAAGCTAATTACAGATAACACTCAGAATTCAGCATAGAAACTGCAGTTCAGATTTGAGGTTCTCATTGTGGTGTATATTAAGATTTTGGTCTTCCAATATGCAGACTTGTAGACTGGTAAATGGGTAGTAGCGTTTTGGAGGAACCTTCTTACTCCACTTTCTAGTTAGAAGAATAAAGATGAAGGAAGTTGGTTTGTTTGAAACAGTGGTACCAATCTATGAGACTGCACACATCCCAGAAAACTACTCTTTCACACTTCATATAATTCACGTTTCTCCTAATACTACAACTGTTTATTTGATGTCAATATATGTAACTATTTTTTTAACGTGTATGAGTTTAGTAGAACTTTGTTTCCTTTCTCAGTATCTTACCACTGCAATACAATGCATTCAATACAGTATACCTGAACACTGAGTTCATTTCAACCAATAAATAACAATCTAACAGCATTTTTTTATATAACCATCTCAAGACATGAAGGCCAGTTCTCCAAAGAGTGAAGATGTGCTAATTTTACAGAAGCTGGGAGGAGAGGGGATAGGTATAGTACCATTGTTCTGATGTACTGAAGTCCTTCCTATCTGTGCATATCTGAAAAAAATTTCATATTGCATAAACTTCATAAAATATGGACATGGTATGTGCCACAACATTCACAAATGTTCCCTCATGATGTATATGTATGTATAATTGTACAAGCTACAGTTCCCAAACACACACACACATATATATATATATATCCCTTCCATTTATCTGCATTTACATGTTATAACCCTTGAGGGGCACTCTGACATAACGATTTCACTGAGGAAGTTTGGAGATTAAAAAGTTCGGGAAGATTGCTCGAGAGAAATTCCCGTCCAAGGGTACATTTTTCCACAAGGGTCGACATCATTAGTACTGACTGACAACACTGTAACTGACCAAACAAGCTGATCGAAAGGTAAACGTTGTAGACTTGTATTCATTTAGAATCTCGACTGGGCCAGTTCTTCATGGTTTTCCTCAATCCCTTCAGGCAAATGTAAGCATAGTATCTAGAATAGTCGGCAATCATTTCCTTCCAATTTCTTTCTAATCCATCATTCATATATCATCCTGTGATCCAAGCCTATGTAGTCTCCTTATTGAAAGCGTGATTAAATCACCTTCAACACTGCAATACTGACTGAAGTACTGCCTTCTGGTCCTACTGTAATTGTGAATATCTTTCCACTTTCCACAGAAAAGACATTACAAGCACTTCCTTGTTTAGATCATTTATACAGATGATGAAAATAACAGCTGACTGCTTAATTCTGTCCTTCGGACTTCAATGGAAGTGGAATTGGAACAGAATTGAATTGTATAATCTTGCAATTAGAGAAATTAAGAAAACAGGAACATCAGGAGTGTTAACCTAGGGCGATACGATACAAACCTGAAATGTAGCAGTATCTTAAAAATGTTTCATCTGTCCTGATATTCGTTTTAAAAAAATAATTCTTTTTTTGTCTACTGTGCAGTGGTCAATCTAAATTGTAGCAACTGTACTTACATTTGCTTTAGTGCTAGACTGTCGCCTCGGCCTTCGTTGAAGAAATGTAAGCATATGGAACAGTTTGTAATGTACAGATGGGAGCATTAGTCAGGAGCAGTCAGGAGGATGTACAGTGGCAACATATATGCATAGTGTTCACCTTGACAAGCACAATGTCGACCTTCGCTGTTTCTTCTCAGGAGATTACTCATGTCAGGGAACATGGATTCCCATAACTATTATTACAAAATTTCAGTTGATTCCTGTACAAAAAACAAAAAGTAACTGACAGGTTGTTTATTGTACATGGTCATATCAACTGCATAAAATCTGTGATCAGGTAGCAGATATCACAGGCATTTGGTGCAAGTGGCTCGGAGGGGCTTGTATGAGCCAATTTTTAATGTCTTATTTATTATTCTAGCCCTTTGTTCTTGGTTCAGAAGATATCGGATGATACAAGTGACAAAACAGCGTCAAACAATATACATATGTATCGACAGAACTTAGTACGTAATTGTTCTATTTTATTCCAAATTATGGTGGAACGAAGTAGAGAATATTGCTTGATGTTGTGGGCCCATTGTGAACAAATTCACAACACATCCCTGAGACATGTAACTAGGTAAACGTAGCTTTCAACTAATTTCATTTAAGGACCAAAAAATGCCAGTGATCCCTCATGTTGCTGATTACTGAAGTGTTGGCAAGAACATCGAGCCCGTAGTAACCATTGTTTAGGAACTCTTCGAAGGTTCTGAAGGGCAAAGTGGCATGGTGAGAGGCAATTGATGAAACCAGAGCCCCCAGGTAACTTGCAAACAAATCATAGACATCAAGGAAGCCGTGAGATGAGGCATGTGGCCAGAGACACTACGAGGTACCATGTTGGAACCTGCAGCAAAGGTAGTACGCGTGATAGGACATCACCAGACATGGTATGGAATTAACTAAACTAACTCCATGGAGCTGAACCCTTCCTGAAAAGCGCCAGTTGTACAGCTACTCAATAAATTCCCAACATTCTAAGTAACCCAGAGGTTCATTACCATTTTCACAAGAGCCCTCCACCGTAACCATTATCATATCCAGAATGATTTTGGAAATCAACCAGACACTTCAGTGTGTACCAGGAACTCCTTCTTCAACAGTAACAATGACGGAAGTGCAAAGCTCACAATTTTACCTCCACCCACCATCAAAGATTAAGAATCAATGAAGCTATTTCACCATACCTCCAATTCACCTTCTTTGCATGGTGCTGGGCAATAGGGTTAGCTTTAACCTACCAATTTTATGCCTGATCTGACACTTGAGTTGTATCAGGACAAACAGTATGACCTCCTTTTTCGTGTCTGTGGTCTAAGATGAAAGATGTAACAACCCACAGACTGACAATGGTATTTACAAGTATAATATGCAGCAAAACCTGTACTTTTATGTTGAATAACTTTGGCCATATTGATAGTTATTTTCACCATTCTGCAAATCACTCTTCTTTACAAGCTGCCTCAATTAGTTATTTTATGAGGTTTAATTGTACAGTCGGATATCAAACTGAGCAGTTTAATTTACCAGTTGGGTCATCCTGCTCTGAATCTGGTTCCACTTCTTCATCCTTTTCTGCCTTTACTGCATTGACTGGAGGTGCAATCGTAACACCAGGAGGTTGATCCGGTGGTAATGAAGTTTCCTTCTTCATAGGTTCTGGAACAGAAGTCAACTTCTTTTCTGTTGTTGCAGTACCCCCAGCTTTAGACTTCTCAGATGCATCCAACACATCTTCCTCGTCCAATAGCTAACTATATTTTTTCTCCATCTCATGATGTTCAACCTTAAAATGAAGAGAACATCAGTATTAGAGGAAAACAAATTATGAAGATGCAAGTAAAAAGTTCAAACACAGTATCTGCAACACTATGTAAGAACAAAAGTGTGAAGCTCCATTATTCCTCCTCCTCCTCCTCCTGTCTGTCATATTTTCACACCTTCCACCAGTTCTCAACTTCTTCATTTTCTAATATATGTTGATTTGATATAATTTATGATACTAAACTGTTCTGTGGAACAATCAAATTATAATAGATGTCCCCAGGCTTTCTCCAAAGCAGGAATTTAATGATGAACAACAATCTTAGAAGCCAATGTCCTACTAAAAATATATCCAAATGATGAATACATTCCAAAACAATCCTCTGAGCTCAAGTCATGTTCTAAGATATATAAACCTATAATTTTATCATAATTTAACACAGGCATAAAACTCAGCATGTCACTAGTCTGAAAAAATCAAGGCCAAAGACTGAAGGTATCTTCAACACAAGATCCTGAGGACGATTATTGACACCTGACAGGCAGACAAACAGACACAATAAGAAAATGAGATAAGGAGCACTTTTCCCACTCTCCTACTATTAAATAAGCGAGGGTGAAATAATGGAAAATACAGACTGAATGGAGTAAACAAGGAATGGTTGGAATTTGGCTGGTAAACTTCAAGAAAGAAGACCATATAATCATAGAAGACAAAAGACAGGGATGGCAGGATCACATGAACCTTTATCGTCCATTCATCACACTTCTGTGACAGCACACAGGTCCAGAAAGCCTACAAATGCATTGTTTTCCATAGAAATATCATTCATCCTAAATAAAACCTGGTCACCAGCAGCATAGAAGTACAAGGTTCACATCCCCAGTTCCTGGATGATAAAGGTTAAACTGGACCTCAGGGAAAGAATCACTTGGAGGAAAGACACTGAAGACGGTTGAAAGCAAAGTGCGTGGACAATAATGGACCTATGCAAGATGAAAATACTGGGGAATGAAGACAATTACATATTGCAGAACTTCACATTTTGTGCTATTCACATAGGATTATGAAGAATAGGACACAGCAAGTAGAATGCACAAATGAAACAAGAAATACACCACATAAGAGGTAAAAGGGAATACAGGACATGAACCTAAAGAGAGTCTTGGCAAGAGAAAACTGCAACAATCTGAGAATTAGATAGAACTGAATCAACATATGACTCAAATGCAACATTTAAAGTGACAAAGATAAATTTATTTCACAAATAGTTAATAAGCAGTCAGATAAGGGAAAGTCCAAATATCAAAGAACTTTGTCCATGATATGTATGTATTTGCCGTCTTGTAGTGCACTCAGTTTCACATGCCACTTCACTACATGTTTCAGCATCACTGTGCCATCCTCAGATGTGTTATTTACGTCAAGTTATTGCATTGCTCGCCATCATGTGTCATTTATAAAATTATGTAAAATGCACATTCTTCATTAACTATAATAAAATTTAAAATTTACATATATCAAAATTTGTTAATATCCGTCATCTTACACATCTTAACTCAAACTTGCATACTATATCATTCTTCCACTATGGGAGTCGTTCTTCCTATATTTTGTGTATACTGTGTAATGTGATGTGTCCTTCTCTCTTGGCTGCGAGTTTGAGTTAAGACATGTAAGATGACAGATATTAACAAATTTTGATATATGTAAATTTTAAATTTTATTATAGTTAATGAAGAATGTGCATTTTAGATAATTTTATAAACGACACATGATGGCAAGCAATGCAATAACTTGACGTAAATTACACACCTGAGGATGGCATAGTGATGCTGAAACATGTAGTGAAGTGACATGTGAAATTGAGTGCCATACAAGACGGCAAATACATACATATCACGGACGAAAATCAGTGCAACAGGACGCTAAAGTACAACATTATAAAAGAACTTGTTTGTGTGTTGGATGATAATGTAATATATACACATACAACAATTCATATGTATTTTTTTTGGCTTATTTTGGACTTCATCCATCGTCTCAATAGAGAATTCTTTACAAAACATGGGCTGCATCTAAATGAGCAAGGGAAAGAAAAGATTGCCATTCAAACAGTAGCTCAAATTTCCACAATCTTAGGGAGAAAAGTAGAAGGTTTAATTCGCTTAGGATGGAAAAATGATCAAATAAAGGGAGATACCACCATAGTACCTGTAAACAGAAACGAAATCCTCATAAATAGCGAGAATGAATTTAACCAACTGACCACCTTAGATCCCGTAGAAACTTGTCCCAGAACATCAAACAGGCAAAAGAAAGTTCCAGTGAGCAGGAAAAATGATTTCTTATGGTAAATGATATTCACAAAGTACCCCATATACTTCAGATCACTCCTCCCAACTCATCCACTGCCACCCCACATATAAATACTCAATCTCAGATAGGTTGTGAGGCTGTAGAACATGTTCCTGCAGTTAACTTTTTCAAGATATACCATCAGAATTTCCGGGGACTGAATAAATCTCAGCCTAAGCTTAAAACATTAAATGTATTTCATCAAAATATAAGAGGGCTCCAGCATAAAATTGTTGAATTGACTTGTATGCTGTATAGCCATGACTTAAGTCCACACATTATTTGGTAGAGCAGAAATTATTAACAATAAAACCTGAAAATTATTATTTGGCCTCCAACTTTTCATGTCAATATAATATTGGAGGTGGAGCGTGCATCTACTGTAAATCCGATCTGAGCTGTAATGTAGTGGATATTTCCAAATATTATATTGAAAAGGTCATAGAGGCTTGTGCAATTCAGATGAAGATTGGTAACAATATTTTTATACTTTTATGTATCTATAAATCTCCTAGTGGTAACATCCAAGAATTTGTCAATCAACTAGAAATAATTTTAAAATTTTTATATAAGCCTAAGTTAGAAATTATATTGTGTGGTGATTTTAATGTAAACTTTTTAAGTAATTCAAACAATGTTCACCAGATAATCTCACTTTTGTATACATATAATTTATGTCGCGTTGTCGACTTCCCTACAAGGATAACCAAAGAATCTAGCACTGCTATAGACAATATATTTTTGGATTATAATAGGTTAAACACTGTTCAAGTCTATTCGGTAATGAATGGGCTCTCAGACCATGATGCACAATACTTGATGATAAATAATGTTTTTGAATCTCAAGTAAAGAACAGTAGGCTTGTTAGGAAAAGACTAATAACCAAGTCTAGAGTCTTAAAATTTATTGACATGTTACACAATGAGGAATGGGACGGTACCCTGGATAACACAGATGTTAATGCTAGTTTTAATAAATTTTTGAGTACCTTTTTAGTTAATTTTGAATCATGTTTTCCTATGCAATCTGTGGTAAATACTGTGTATAATAATCAGTGGATTACTAATGGAATTAGAGTGTCCTGTAGGCGTAAAAAATATCTTTACATGATGAGTAGAGTAACTAGTTGTCCTAAATTAAAAGAGTATTATA